TTTGCTGCTGATGGAGCATCCTCAGTGCTGCAGAGGGAGCAGGGATTGAGCTGCTGGCCTGCACTGATGGACCCAAGGCTGTAGGTGAGGAGGTTGCTGCTGGTGTGGGTCTGTGCTCAGGGGATCTTGCTGTCCATCCTTCCCAGGGACCCCCAGCCTTGCAGCTTACGCCCAGGATGGGTAGCAGCAGAGGGTCTTGGAGGTCCTGGGCCCAAACCTCACAGCCCATATGTGTACCCAGGATGGGCAGCAGCAGAGGGTCTTGGAGGTCCCGGGCCCAAACCTCACAGCCCATATGTGTCTGAGCACTTCTTTGCCTGATCCGTGTGGAGGATCCAGCACTTAGCTGTTTTTCCTGGAGGTGGGAGGGAGAAGGGATATGCCCCCTGCCCAGCCTGCCCTCCTGCTTTGCCTTCTCTTTGGCTGCTGAAGGCTGAGCCATACCAGTGTGATGTGCCTTCCCAGGAGGACTGGGAAGGTGTCTCTGTGCTTGTCAGGATCTTCCAAAGAGGCATCATCCTCTCAGGAAACCCAGCAGCCTCTCCACACTGCTGCCTTGGCTGTGGTGCAGCCCATAGAACTGTGCTTTGGGACAAGGGAAGGACACCTTCCCTTGGGCATCACCTGTGGGCACAGAGCAGGCTGAGTGCTCTGAGGTCCAGTCCTCCTCTTGTATGAGGGGCAATCAGCTCAGCCACTGCTGTCCTGAGGTTTTCCAGGTGCAACAGGGATGTGCAGGGTGGTCCCAGAGAGTAGGTGTGCAACCTGTCCCTGTGTCCTGCACAGTGAGACATTTGCTAAAACAATCTGACTTTTTTGCTTTGTGGGAACTATTAAAATAAAATCACCTCTTCCAATGGGAAGCACAACATCCCCAGAGGTGTGGGAGGGTTTCTGTCCCCATGGGCTCTGGCCAGGTTTCCTCCCTGCTCGGTGGGCTGAGCGGTGCTGTGGACCCTCAGGTTGTGCTCTGTTAGGTCAAAGCACCAAACAAAGGTGCTCAAGTTCCAAGAAATGCTGAAACAGCAGGAGTATGGAAATAGCTCTCGGAAAACTGGCAGAACTGTAGGGCTAGAGGTACACAGAGGTTGACAGTGTTGGGGCTGCAGCAGGGAGGGTTCGTGTCAGTCAGCACAGAAAGCAGCTGGTGTGCCAGCCTCCCCCACCTCTCTCCTTCTCTTTTGGGTGAAATTCTGCTAACTATAATTATCCAGCTCACATGGACCTTTGCAAACAATGCTCCAGACTGGCAGGACTTGGAGCATAATTTGGCATGACAGAGTCCCTCATTAGCACTGTGGGGCACCAGGCTGTGCTCCAGAGAGCTGCAGATGGAGCAGTCCTGGCTGGACACGGTTCCATGTGTGGCTTTAATGAAGGAGGAGGAGGAGGAGGAAAATGTCTGTAGGTCCTGTGACAGGCAGAGTGGTTGGGATCTGGGAGGGCAGTGCAGAGCTGCTCCTGGTGTACCTGTGAGTCTGTTTGCAGGGAAACCTCAGTGAGGTGTGTGAGTGATGTGCCCATGGGGAGGGACATGGACCCATGCAGAGGACCATCACCTCTTTCCACACTGGCTGCAACTGAGATTCATCCTCAGAGAGATTTAGGTGCTTGGCAGTTTCTTCAGGTCCCATCTCAGACCTGAAAGGCGAAAGCATCTTAAAAAAAACCTTAATGAAAAAATCCACAAAATTCCTAGCAGAATGTAACAGAATGGAGAATGCTGATATTTTCAATCAAAATTAAGTGCTTTGACGTGCCAGAACACCACTCTTCATTTCAAACTGACATTGCAGGCTGAAAAAAATTCAAGTCAGACCAAACATTTGTAGTTGGAATCTCACGACGCCGGAGGTTGATAACTGTCAAAATAGCAATTTCTGTGGAGATGTGTTTTCTAACGGGAGTTTGGGCATGAGTGGGAGCACCAAATGCCTGTGCCAGGATGGAGCTCCAGGATGGCACCTCTCAGCCTGGTGCTCCCCTGAACCCTGTGTGCTCTCCTGGCCACCAGCACAGCTCCTGCTGCTTGGCGTGGTGGCTTCCTGTTGTGGACAGTGTGAGCTGCATTATTGATAACACCGTGATTTATTTATTTATGCTTCCTTGGATATGGCAAACAGCTCAGCCTTTCCAAGCTAAATATAGTTTGCACTGGGAGCATATCCCTATCCTGTGTGGGGTGGAGCAGCCAGCAGAGCACTTGGTTTTTGGTCCAGCTGAGAAGTTCAGGGATGTCTCACATGGCCTGGAGGGTCCCATGGGCATGACCTGGGGATGGGCTCCTCCAGAAGGGCTCTGGTGTGTGCTCTTGAGCTTGAGGCTGATGCCTGTGCTCTCTGCATGAAGGGGGAGCAGAGCTGGAACAGCAGACAGGAGACTAGGGTCTCTTGGTGGGGACCTGGCTGCTTTAAGGGATGTTCATTGGTGTTGAGGACACACTAGCACAAGAAATGCAGAGGCTGCTGACAGCATCGTGTCTGCTGTCCTCACATCTGGGCTGCCAGATGTGCCTCACCATGGGGCTGTGAGCTGTGGGGCATGTCCAGCTGGGGCACAGCTCCTCCCTGGTGCAGCGTGGCTGTGTGTATGTGCCCAGAGGTGTGGGGGGCACGTGCCCCATCCCAGCTGGATGCTCCCATGCTCTGGGTTTGCATGGAGGGCTGAGCAGCTCTGAGAGAGCTCTTTGTCACTGAGGAACTGGTGCAGGCTTTGTGCTGGCATCAATATTTACACAGTGGGCTGTCACGTCTCTGAAGGGACTCCGACAGTGCCAACTGTCATGTGAATCCCCCACTCTGAGGAGCCTCGTGCTGAGCAGATTCCACTGGAGATCACCTAAATATGGGTTTATACCAGGGAGTCTCACAGTCTCATCACATCACCTCCAGGAGCAATGGTTTTCTTGCACGTTGAGCCATCCCAGGTTCATTCTGGTGATGGAGGAGCTGGAGCAGGATCAGTCCCTGATCACCCAGTGGGCAGGGATGGAGCTGGGACAGTGAGCAGGACTCTCCCAGCCACTCTTCACTGTGCTTCTGGCCAAACCAACCATCCCACAGCATTAATTATGACTATTTCCTTACCTCGAAATTCATTTTTACCATAAAATGTGGTTTTTGTCAAGATGCATTTATTTTTATTCTTTTTTTCTGGGCAAATGTCAACATTTTGGGTGACATTTTCTGATTTTTATTTTTTTTTTCCAGATGGGAGAATCAAAGTAGAAAAGATCACTTGAAATCAGCATTTTGGAATGAAGCATTTTTTCGTTTTGAAATGTCAGTTTAAAACGAGACAATTCATTTTGAAATGCTTCAAAACAAAGAAATGCCCTTTTTATCACCTCAAATCACTTTGTTTTGATTAAAAATGTCAGCGTTTTGTGTTCTGGCTCTTCATTAGATGAGTCTGTTGCACTCTCTCATGGTCCAGAATGGATGGAGATTTAGAAGAGGGTGGAAAATTGGAAGATTTCTTCTCCTAGAGCTCTGAGTTTTTCTGGTGCTCTGCTAGAATCCTGCACTGCCCATGGAAGGGACAATGAGTGGGAGGATGGTGAAGGTTAGGACTACCCCAGGTATCTGCTGCTGCTGGTCCTGGCATCTCTCCCCAGCCTTGGCATCATCCCCACTTGTCTTCATGGCCTCTCTTTAGTAAGTTATGATCCAGCACTAAAGTTTTATGGGGGACACAGTTGTTTGCTCTGGAGCTGCTTAGGCCCCAGCAGGCAATAAATGAGGCTTGAGGTCACCACGTCACTTGGCAGACTCCGAGCGGTGACGTTGCTGTCAGTGCTGCTGCTTGCAGAGCCCCAGAGCTGTTCCCACCTGCAGGGACGTGGCTGTAAATAGTACAGAGAACATATTTAAAGCAGTCAACAGTAAAATACCAAGTCTTTGGGGATTTACATTTTTCCCTCAGGGCTCCAGATGATGTAAAACTCCTTCCCAGCTCGGCCTGTGTGGGGTGGGAGAAGTGCCAGCACAGTGCCCTGGTGTGCACACAGAGATGCCAAGAGAGGTTATTGGTGTGCCCAGGGGTAGCAGATGCAGTTTTGAGTGTGTGGCTGCATGAACTTGGCAGCAGTGCTGGGAGGAGGAGCAGCCCCAGAAGAAGGTGACGCACTGGGCTGCAGGTCCTGACCCTGCTGTGAGCTCTGTGTCTGCCCCATTCCTTGGCTCCCTGTGAGGTGTTGGCCCTGGAGATCCAGTGAGATCAGTCCATCCTTCTGTCAGTGAGTGGTTTTTAGGTGCCAAACCTTGGGCATCATTGCAAGGGACCTCAGAGACTCAAGGGTGATGACAACACGTAACTGTGCACGGAGAAGGTGGAACCTGGAACGACTCGCTGCTGATTTACTCTGGCTCTTCCCACACACACTGGGTCTGTATTTAGTATTTGTCTTCTGCATTAACAACATACTAGAAAGGGCCTGGTTTTGTGCTCTCAGCAGTAAAAATCAGGAGCAGCTCTGCTGCAGCAGATGGGTCGTGCTGCTGTTCAAAGGGTTGAGCTCCTGGAGAGGTTTCGGTGCGTGTGGTGGGTGCATACTCATGGGGCTAGTCAAGCTCCAAGGCATCCCCAGCCACTCCCAGGGACACAGTGGCTCATGCTGACAGCAGGTGACACTGCCTGTGTCCCTCTTTCTCCTTTCAGATGCACTGATGTCTGCCCTTTGCAAAGACCTGACCCACCTGAGGTTGGCAGATGCGCAGATGTGAGCGTGAATCCCCAGTAAAAGGTAACTATCACTCCTCTGTGCTGCTGCTGGTGGGATTTCTTCCTGTCCTGCTGCAATGTCCTTTTGCTGCTGATGAAGTCCAAGCCCAACTGAGGGTGGTGGGTAAATCCTTTCCTCTCCTTGAACTGTGTCCTTGCAGCCAAGTCATCCTGGTCCTCACATGTTCTGCATGTAGGAGCACTGGTAAGTTGGGGCTGCACCTCCCAGCCCTCCTCAGCCCCTCTTCCTCACACATCTCTTCTGATTTTTTGGCAGAATGAGTGAGAGAGACATACAGAGCCTGAGCAAATGGGTTTTCGTGCTCACTCTCTGCCTTACCACGCTGTGGGGACGACTGACGTTGGCCTCCACCCATCATCACAGAAGCCATTCAGGTAGGGGAGCAACATCTTCACAGCTCTGGTGGTCCAGGGCTGGGGGTTCCTCTCCTTTGTGCATGATAGGAAGATATGTGGGCAGGTGGGCACTGATGTTCCTGGTGTCACTGATGTTACTGGTGTGCTGGCAGAGCTGTGCAGCCAGACAGCAAAGGTGAACACTTGGAGCACCTTCTGTCTACCTCTTGTGCCTCTCTTTGGAAAAGGCATTAGGGGTTAATTTGAAACTGTTCATGCTCTTGCCTGACCCCACACCTAACCCTGTCCTATTTCTGTCATTTTTTGCCTGACAGTTAAAGCACTTCTAATCCTGTAATCCCCATCCACGTTGCTTAAAACCAAAACGCATCTTCCAGAGTGACTCCCTCACCCACTCACCCAGTCAGCAGCTACCTGCCTTCCCCTCATCCTAACTCAGGCTGCTCCATCCCTGGAAGAGTTCCAGGCCAGCTTGGATGGAGATTGGAGCAACCTGGGCTAGTGGAAGATGTCCCTACCCATGTAGGGAGGGGGGACAAGATGAGCTTTAAGGTCCCTTCCAACCCAAACCATTCTGTGATTCTAACCTGGAGAAAACTCCTGAGGTTTTTTTCTGCACTGACTTTTCAGCACTGGCTCAGGACTCCTTGGGATACAGGCACTGCTGGTGCTCACCCAACCTGCCCAATCCCAGTGCCAGAGAGCCCCACTCCTCCACAGGATCAATTTGCAGGGAGCTCCTTCTTCAGGGAAGAATCAGACCTGGCATTAATAAAGCAGTGACTCGCTGAGCTTTGAAGTGCAGATGCCCAAGTGTACTGGTGGGTGTGAATTATGTATAAATCTCTCTCATCCGTGAGCAGCCAGGCTCGTGGATTCACGTGCTGCCAGGCAGAGAGCTGGGAATTTTTCACTCACACAGCCTTATCCACAGTGGACCAGCTCTTGTACATTTTATTCAGGAAAATTCTAATCCACAGCAAAGAGGGCAGACCAGGAGGAAGCTGCTCAGGGTGAAGGTGGCAGCTCTGTGGCTTTGCCTGGGGATGTGTTGGTTCCTCCATCACTGCCAGCCTTTACATCAAGGTGGAATATTGCCCTATTGTCCTGTTGTCCTCTCTAGATGAATCAAACTGGGTGTGGGAGCATCACTCAGCACCACAGCACGTGTGGTTATGTGTCAGGAGCTGCATCCCCAGCTGCAGGGTGTCTATGCAAGTTCCTTGTCACACAACATCAGAACACTCTCAGCTGTTCTCAACACAGCCCAGGAGTTTAGGTTTCTGCTTGCAGCTGTGAAGTGATGGGATTTGCACAAGCAGGTCGTGGATGTGCACACACTCATGCATGCAGTGAAAGAGGGCAGAGTGCATTGTGGAGTCTTGAGGTGACAAAAGTCAAAAATCCCAGCGGAAATGCAGCGATAATGAGCGATAAAAACAAGGCTGCTTCTCTCCAAAACCCTCTTAAATAATCCATGCATCTGAGGCAGGAGTGATTTTAAGACTTTAATTATTTAGTGAATATTAGTAGTAGAGTTGTTGCAGGGCATGGAGCATGGATCACTCGTGCCACTGGCTGCCTGGCTCTGCCCATGATCCATTCCCAGTGCCCCCAGGGCTGTGCTGCCCACTGAGCAGAGCCCACCAGGGATGGGACTCTGCCTCCCTCTGGGTCCTGCCTCTTTCTGCTGCTCAGCCCTCCTGAGGATGCCCAGACCCCTTCAACAGCATTTCAGTGCCTATAGAATGGTTTGGGTTGTAAGACACCTTAGAGCTCATCTGTTCCACCCCCTGCCATGGGCAGGGACACCTTCCACTAGCCCAGGTTGCTCCAAGCCCCATCCAACCTGGCCTTGAGCACTTGCAGGAGGATGGGGTTTGATGCAGGGGTTTAGGCATTGCTTGACACTTGCATGCATCCAACATCTCTTCGTTTTGCAGCTCTCCACCAGCAAGCAGAGCAGTACTTTACACTGAACATGTGGAGCTGTGCCCACGCTCCCTGAGACACTCAAAATGTGTCATTTCAGGTTATGCCACAAAAAAAACCTACCTTGTTCTGCTGCTCACTTAAAGGTCAGCCAGAGTAGGACAGTGTTTTTATTTTAGTTTTGCATGCAGGATTCAAAAGCCTCGTGCCCTTACAATTCTTTTATGGTTCCATGAGATAAGGTGGGGTGTTTTTTTTTTCAAAAGGGTTCCAGTGGGGAAATACCAGTTAAATGGGAGGGAGAAGCATGCCAGAAGCTCTGGAACTTATCCCGGGCTCTCTGGGGGTTTCCTGCTGCCGGTGTTAAACACACCATCCATCTGATCTGCATTTTGTTCCAAGTTTCCTGCTGCTCAGCAAAAGGAGAAGCAGCTGCAGGGAGCTCTGGAGCCCATCACTCGCTCTGCACGTGGGCTCAGCTTCTCTGCCTGTGCTTCCCAGACGTGGGACATGAAAACCCAGCGTGGCAGGGAGCCCCTCAACGCTGCCCTCCCACTGGCATCCCTGGCACGGGGCTGCTCATCTCCTCTGAAACGAGGAAGCAGCAAATTCTCTTGCTGACATCCTGGGAATCACCATCTCTGAGGCAGAGGGATTTGTTTGCATCCAGTTACAATCCCTCAAACTCCTGAGCTCGCTTGGATGTTGGGATCTGGTGTGGTTCATGTTGCCTGTGGGTAAAGGGGAAGGGAAGGGAGTGGATCTGTTGGGTGTGGAGGAGCTGAGGTGCTCTGTGCCAGGTGGGATGGCTCTTCTCCTGCTCCCCATGGGAATGTCACCTGTGCTCAAACACCACCACGTGGGAAAGGGATGCACCTAGCCCTGCTGCTGGGGCAGGGGGCAAATTTCCAGGGTCATTGTGTCCCAGGGCAGGATATTGGCTGCTCATGAGACAATGCAATAGGGAAATGGTTTTAAACTGCCAGAGGGCAGGTTTAGATGAGATATTAGGAAGAAATTCTTTACTCAGAGTGCTGAGGCACTGGCACAGGTTGCCCAGAAAAGCTGTGGCTGCTCCATCCCTGGGAGTGCTCCAGGCCAGGTTGGATGGGGCTTGGAGCAACCTGGGCTGGTAGAAGATGTCCCTGCCCATGGCAGATGAGCTTTACATTTCCTTCCAACCCAAACTCAGACCTTTAGGCAGTACTTCATGGCCTGAGGGAGGGTTGGATCCTGGGGCTGAGTGCTGCTCCCCCAGCTCTGCCATCAGTAGGGCCCTTTCTGGGGGCTGTGCCAGGGCAGGGGGTACCTGCCCCTTGCAGGGTGTCCAGGTAGGCAGCTCTTCCCAGGCAGAGGCTCTGAGGCTGTGGGTCTGGCACGACATTGCCCCACGCTCAGCCAAGTGTGGTAAGGCAGAGAGAGGAGAGGCAAATTTCTCTTTATCTCTGAGCTGCACCTTTTTGAACAAATTAAAAGAGCTTTGGCACGTTAGCAAACTCCTATTGCATGGCTGTAATGAGCGATTTCTCAGTTCTGCCTGGCTCTCCCTTGGCTGAACCTTTTTAAATTAGCTGAAAATGAGCAACTGGAGAGCAGAAGTGTGAGGGAACGGAGGGGTCGCCTGGGCAGACTCCTGGGAAGAGCTCTGCTAATGAAGCTCTTCTAAAAATGAGTCAAAACCACAACTGTGTGTGAGTACTGAGGTTGGAGGGTATAAAGTCCCTTGGTGGGGTGCACAGGGTTGGAGAGTGACTCCACATAGTCCTGGATCAGAGCGTGGTGGGAATGTGGGCTCCTAGTCAGCCAGAGCAAAGAGTCTCTGATGCTTCCCTCAGATCATTTGAAAAATCCCATGAAGCATAAAAAAAGGGCAAAACAGTCACATTTGTTCTGTAATGAGTTGCTTTCCTTCTCACTTTCACCAAAGTCTACCATTCCTGCATACAAAAAGAATGGGATTTATTATTAAAACTGAATTGTTATGGCATTTCGAAGGGAAGATAAAATTTATGGCCAGAGATGCTATTGCAAAAGATTCCAGGATAGATAATTGTGTAATTATTATGGACAGAAGTGAAAGTGATGCTTCATTAAAAGAAAATGACCATGAAATAACAATAAATAAATTAAAGCCATGAGGATTGCACAGTCCATCCAGTGTGGGAGTGTAGGGCACAGGGATGTGTCCAGGGCAGCTCCTTGCGTCCTGCCCCTCGTCTCCTGCCCTACACTTGGACACAGAGGGAACAGAGAGGTTCAAGGAGTGCTTTGGTTGGATGCTGGCACAGCCATGCCCAGCTGGCACAAGCCAGGAGGTTGCAATTGGATCAGCATTTCCCAGCAGGGATGTGAAAACTTGGCTTCAAGGCAAAGGGATTTCCCCCAGCACCTGGGGAGAGATCCCATTTCCCTCAGCTTTCCTTGCAGAGGTGAAGTGGCTGCATTCCAAAAGCTCCTGGAAGCTGAGCAGTGTGAGCTGGTGAGCGTGGGGGTGTGACAGGGACCCACGGGGGCACTTGCTGCCCCTGGTCCTCCTCATTTTGTGTGGCTTGGGGTGGATGGGACCCCCAGCAGGACCCTCGGGCAGTGGCCAGGGATGAAGCAGAGTTGGGAGCTGAGGCTGGATGGGTAGGGTGAGAATGGTAAGTGCAGGGTGGGCTGGAGCAACTACTGGAATCAGGTGCCAGGAGAGAGCTGAGTGTGAGCTCATGCTCAGGGGTACCTGCACCAGCAGCACCAACATCCCACAGCCCTGTCTGTCCTGCTTTCCCAGCCTTTCCTGCAAGGGCTCCTGGAGGCTCATCCCTGCACCCCAGGGGTGTGGAATGTGTCCTGAGATGAGGGTGCTGAGCAGCCAGGCCTGACACCTGCTCACCTGCCTGCATTTTGGGATGCCACACTGCAGAAATGCAGCTTCCCTGTCCTCCACCCTGCCTGGCTCCTGCTTGCTGCGGAATAACAGCCTGTTCTGGTGACCCAGGGGATGTCAGTGCATGGCTCTGCACTGCTCCTCCAGTGCTCATTAAGCAGGACCTGCAGGATCTCTAGGGTCATGGGAATGAAGTCTCTCCAGCCCTGTTTGGCTGATTTGCATTGTGCCTGTGTGGGCCATTACCCAGCTAAGGCATTGATTTGTGATGCTGACCAGCACTAAACCTCCATCCCAGAGGTGAACAGCCTACACAGTAGTTTTCTTTCTTCCTTAATATTTTAATGGCCCTGGGAAGAGGGAAGCAGCAGAGCAGCCTGGATTGCTGATGAACACGGTGGCACTTCTCTGTCACTGCAGGGTGGAGTTGTCTTGGTCCTTCCTCCTCCAGCCAGAGGATGATGGGTGATGGCAGGACAGGAGTGTTGGGGTTGGAGGTATTGGGGCTGTGCTTGGAAACAAAAGCAGCATGACACACCATCCCCTCTCCTAGCAAAGTGCATCTCATTATCCGCTGCAATTAGCTAACGTGCTCATTAGTTTCAATAAAGCTCTGGGCATGGCTGTGGCAAAATTCAGGGATGAATTTTGGTGGGTGTGAGGGTTCTCAGGAGTGGGAGCTCAGGTGCAAGAGGTCCAGAGCAGGAGCAGTGCTTCTCCTTAGGCTCTGCTGGGGCAATGCTGGGCTCAGCCATGAGGATGTCAACAACAGCACTGGGACAATTCTGGATGCCAGGACAGCACTGCCCACACTGGGCTCTCCTGATGCACACCAGGGGCAGTGGGCAGATGTGACCTGGGGGCTCCAGGGCCTGACAGAGACTGTTTCTCCTCCTGCAGTGCACGTAGAGCCTGGCACATGTGAAGTCATCGCAGCTCACAGGTGCTGCAATAAGAACAAGATCGAGGAGCGTTCCCAGACCGTGAAATGCTCCTGCTTCCCGGGGCAGGTGGCAGGGACAACACGGGCAGCTCCCTCCTGTGTGGATGGTGAGTACCCCACAGCCACAACCCCATCCCAGCCAGCCCTGCCTGGGGCTCCTCCACCTGAGCTGTGCTGGAGAGAGGGATGCACCTCCCAGTGCCACAGCCACTTGACCCCCTGTCTCCCCCAGCCTCCATCGTGCTGCAGAAGTGGTGGTGCCAGATGGAGCCGTGCCTGGATGGGGAGGAGTGCAAGGTGCTGCCTGACCTCTCGGGCTGGAGCTGCAGCAGTGGCAACAAAGTGAAGACGACCAAGGTACATCCCTGGCAGGTGATGGAGGGAGCCTGGCTGTGCCTTCCCCAGCCTGGGACAAGCAAAACCCAGGAGAGCATCCTAAAAGAGTTCCTCCAAGGCTTGTGTCATTTGATGTGGCTGCACCAAAGCAGAGCAGAGGGTCTGGGCTGTGCAGTTGTGCTTGAGGGGCTGGTGGGGGTCCCATGTCTTTGCTGATGGATAAATCCTGCTTGGAGGCTCAGTGAGCAGCACACTGAGTGGCTCAACCCCTGAACACACACACTGGGGGTGTTTCCATGCCAGGCCAGATTTTCCAGGTGTCCTGGTTGCTCCCCAGCACCTCCTCACTGCTCCAGGCCAGCAGGTTGCTCATCCCATCCCAGTGGTACAGCCCTGAATCCTTCACCACTCCCTGTCTGAGGCAATCATCTGTGACAGAGCACTACATGATTATTATTTTCATGGCTTGCTGAATGCCCCAAAGAACAAGGTGTAATTAAAATTTTATCAAACTCATTAGTAATTACATATATGCCATGGTTAATCAGTTGCATAATTTTGTAATCATTGTTCATACTGTTGAGTGTAATTATTCCTTATGCTTTCGTTTTCCTCGCCCCACATCCCCTGCCATAAAATTATCGTATTAAGCAATGTTGGGGATTTTTTTCATTACTGCTATTACTTTTGTGCACAGAAAGCACTTTCATGCTCAAGTGTTTTTATGGATGTCCAAGAAGGTTTCTCCAGCTCTGGGAATCCATCACTGACCAGTAACTGCAGCACTACGTTTAGGTCCTTGTCTTTTTCCCATTTTAGTGTTGTTTGATTGGTTTTCCCATAGCTGCTAACTTAGCCCAAAGCCTGTGCTCTGGCTTTGCTGCCCTGGACTCTCACTGGGAGCATTCCCACCTGCAAGATCCTGGGATTTCTGCTCTCCTCCCTCATCCATCAGCTCCATTCCATGACTATCTTCCCAGCACCCTTTCTGGGTCCTGTGCCCTCCCTTAGGGAGGCAGAAACACAGACCTGTGCTTTCAGAAGGATTTTGGGTGACTTTAGTGACTTTTGGTGCTCCATTAGGAATGGTGCCACGGGGCTGGATTTACCTCTCACAGTCCTCTCTGCAGCCAGACCCCAGTGGGAGCTGCAGCCAGAGCTCAGGGATCACAAACCATCTGTAAGATGCCATTTGGAACAACCACCCCACTGCTGAATGCAAAGAGCAAATCTTATTTGCACCTGCTGAGGCTGTTTGCTGATAACACACGGATGGGATATCAGCTGGATGTGTTGGGCAACTTCTCCTCTTCTCCACAGGTCACTCGATAGCCTCAGTGCAGCTCGGCAGAGACTGACCAGCCTCGGGGTGGCTCCTGCTGCTCCTGTGAGCAGCAGGATGTGTCCTGGTGCCTGTGGAAGGATGCTCCAGGGCTGCTGCCCTGCACCCGCCAGCAGGACTGTGACAGGTACCAGATCAGAGCATCCACTGAGCCCTGACTTCCCTGGAGGCTGCCAGCAGGGACCCCAGCACAGCTGCCAGACTCCTGTCACTCCATGGTCCTCTCCTCCTCTGTGGACACGTTCACCAACCAAGAAATTGGCTCGTTTTCCAATCCTCTTAAATAAAATACTCCAACCATGTAAGAGCTGTTGACAATGCAGAGACAGACAGGCAGCAGGTCCCCAAAATGGGCTTTATTCTGAGTGGCTGAAATCATTGCTGTGAGTCACCTTTCCTCATCTCCTGGGATGCTGAATCCGAGTTGCCATCAGGAATTGGGAAGTCAATGGTTGTGTGAAACCCTCCCCCATGTGGGGGATTCCCAGGAGCAGCCACTGAGCTCCAGCTTGATCCTGAGTCACTGGGGGCTGCTGTGCCCTGGAAGCACTGGGAAAACCCAGTGCCACCACCTGCCTGCTGTGAGCATGGTCAGGGGGTGGTGAGATGTCTCCATGGCACATGCTGCTGGTTTCTCCTTCCTCAGTAATTGCATTAATCAGGCCATGAATTTAATGTTTGCCACAGTTCAAGTCCCAGGCACTGAGTTTCTGCTTGTGTTTGCAATTGGCTTTCAGAGCTGTGCACAGGAGAGCTCTCTCTGTCTACAGGTCTGGGTTGCTTGAGGTGTAGAGATGCCCAGCCAGACTGAGCCAGATTTTGTTGCATTAATCCAAAAGAAAGAAAAATGTACCATCTCCTGGCCCTGAGCTCATGACCAGTCCCAGGACTCAGTTTCTCATGGGGCAGCAGCTCAAGGGGGAGAGGATGTGAGCCTTGTTCTCCTGATGTCAGTGGGGACTCCAGGGCTGTGGGGAGCAGGGCCAGCACCTCCAGCCCTGCTCTGTGACCCATGCAGAGGATGTGCTGGCTCAGGAGGAGAGATGATGTGAGGCACTGCTGGGGTCACTGGTGTGCATGCAGCCTCCTGCCTCCGTGCCCTGGGTGCCACCGGTGGGACTGGTTATTGAGACGTTTTTGTAACGGGGTATGGAATACCTGCTCCAGATGTGATGTAAATAGCAGACTGTGAAATAATAAATTCATTTTAATCTCTGCAAAGGGTCTTTTCACTCAGCAGCAAGCAAAGGGAGGCTCGGGGAGTGCTTCTGATGCTGACCACATCCGAGGTGGATGGGCTGAGGGCTCTGCCCTGGCCGTTTCCATCCCAACCAACTCATGCATTGGCAGCTCTGGGGGAGAGCTGAAAGCCTGTTGTGGCCAGTAAAGGCTGATTAGCTCATAGTGGTCCTAAAGAAAAGTGCATTAATTTCTCTAGGATGCTTAGCTGAGAGCTTCACTTGTCCTATCCCTTCACCTTTGTGTGGCAGCTCCCACTGCTGCAGTACCATGTCCTGCAGATGCCACTTCTGCTCAGGGCCCATCTGTACTTGTATGGTCCCCAACTGGAGTCCTTTTTCCCTCTAAGAGCCCAGGCTGTCGAATGCAGAGTGGAAACCTGTAATTTCCAATGGCAAACACCAGGCTGCTGCTGGGAGCATCCCTGCTTGGCTGAGCATATTTGTAGTTGGCTCATAATGTGAAGGATCCACTCTGTGGAAGTGTTGAGCTTGACACCTACACTGAGATAAAAACATTTTATTGTCTGCATAATAGCCACCCTCAACGCTTATTTTTCACTTACTGCAATGCACAGTTTAGTGAGGAAATAGCCCCTTGGTGTCTCTGCTGAGTGCTGACCGCGCTGCTATCACACCATCAGAGTACACAAACACAAATCGCTGCTCCCCTCCTGGCAGGTAAAGGCTTTTTGGAGGAAAGCACTGCAGCCTGCAAAAAAAACTGGGGTTACTTCTGAGCAGCCAGGGAAGGAAGCTCCTGCCACGGCTCCTGGCCCTCCACCCTTCTGCTTGCTGTATTTTCAACATTTTCTTTTAGCTGAACAGGCAGAACATTCCTAGCAGGAGCATTAAGCCATGGAAGAGGGTGATGGAGATGGGAACAGCCCTGTGCTGGGACTAGGATTTTGGATGGAATCATAGAATTTTAGGGGTT